TTCATTCCAAGTACCCCCACTCTACCCACTGCCACTGAGCCAATCCTGACTCATACAGTCCCTTTATAGGGGTTCTGAGACTATAAATCTTTATGGGAGCAGACAGTCTCATCCTTTTCGTGGAGACTGGATTTAAACCACTGACCTTGCAGTTGGCAGCTAGCTGCTTACCCTCCACTCCAGTGGTGGTGGTGGTTGTGTGCCATCAAGTTGGTTCCTGCTCATAATGACCCTGTATTGGGTTGTTTTTACAGGAGCAGAAAGCCTCATCTATTTCCCGAGGAACAGCTGTTAGATTCGAGCTTCTGACGACTATGCTACCAAGTCTTTTTTACCCTGACTTCTGTTAAGGGTCGTCGAGTTGGTTCCGACTCCTAGCGACTCTGTCTAGGGTTTCTGAGGAGCTGCCATCCAGCGCTTACCCTACAGCGCCACACTGAAGTTTTATTCAAGCTGACAAGGTAGCTGCTGTCTCCCAACAGTGTGGCAGGTACAGAGAAACCACCTTCAGCCTCTGAAAATTGAGTCACGGATATGAGGTCAGTTCCAGACCTGAAGGTCCATGTTTCCTTCCATCTGGAAACCAAGAACCAAAACCTGTATAGGATTTCTGAGGAGCAACTGGTGGATTTGAACTACTGACTTTCCAGTTAGCACTCCAGTACTTATCCTACTGCACTATGCCAGGTCTCCTGAAACAGCCCTATTGTTGTTAAGCAGAGTCAGCTCTGACTCATAATGAACCTGTATAGGATTTCCAAGGAGCAACTGGTAGGTTTGAACCGCCAATGTTGTGGTTAGCAGACCAGTGCTTATCCTACAGTGTGCCACACCAGTACTCTGAAATAGCCCTGTTGTTGTTGTTAAGTGCCGTTGAGTCGATTCTGACCCATAGCAACCCTGTATAGGGTTTCTGAGGAGCAGCTGGTGAGCTTGAACTGCTGACCTTAAGATTCAAGCTGACTTTGCAGTCTAGCGCATTAACCCACAGCGCCACACGAAACAGCCCTGGTGGTGGTTGTTATGTGCCGTGGAGTAGGTTCTGACTTATAGCGACCCTGAATAGGGTTTCTGAGGCTGTAAATCTTTATGGGAACAGAAAACCTCATCTTTTCTACTACAGAACAACGGGTAGTTTTGAACTGCTGACCTTGAGGTTAGCAACCTGACTCGTAACCACTATACTACCAGAGCTCCTTGAAACACCCCTAGTGCTCTTTAAAGTCCAACATAAAATTAAACATGAGGGGACTTGCAAAAATTCTTGGAGAAATGAAATGAAGAGATAATGGGATTTTCTCACTAACTTTTAGAAGTCCCCTCCAATGTTTTTCTGAACTGTTTCCCACTCCCATCTCAAACTTCTAAACGAGCCCCTCCCTTGGATCAGTAGAATGGCTCCTTGTGATAAAGAACTGAAGAGAGGTGGCAGAATGAAGAAATCAATGTGGCTGGTGAGTAGAGAGTTGTCTTAAATTACCGCACCCCACCCCCACCCCTGCCATGTGCACAGCATACACAGTGATCATAAACTCTCCAATTCTGATAATCATTTACAACCTTTCTGGCAATTTGTACTTCAGTATGATTTACAGCCTAGGAAACCCTCTACAGGGTCACTATGATTCAGAATCATCTTGAAGGTAGTGGCTTTGTTTTTTTTATAAACCTGGAAAAGATTCCTGGTGATGCAGTGGGTTAAGTGTTTGGCTGCTAACCTGAAGATTGGCCATTCTAACTGTTCAGCTGCTCTGAGGGAGAAAAAAGAGGGTGTCTGCTCCTATAAAGCTTTGTTGTTGTTGTTGTTAGATGCCATCGAGTCGGTACCGACTCATAGTGACC